TTACTAAAGTCGAGGACATGCGTCTCGAAATGAATTCATTGGGCTGGTGAGAAACTGCGAGATAAGTTGAGACATATTGATGCTGAGCAAGGAGATAATTGGTCAAAAAATTTTTTGTCTTATCTCATCACTGGATGCTTATTGTTAGTTGAGAATCTCAATCCGTATCGTTTGATTGCGTTACGAAGCAATACCGAGACGAACACTTTCATTAGTGGATCAAATGAGTGTATCGAATCGAAGATTGTATTGTATTTCAGAATGCGATGCGAACTGTGGCAAAGATGGTACCAAGTGTGTGCGTACAGGTACCGCTGATGAGCAAGCGTGCATAAAGCCGTCGACACCGTCTACAACCTCTACAACCACTACTGAATCATCAACATCAACCTCAATTTCAAATAAAACGTCACCGGCTAGCGCAACATCTGACACTAGCAAAACAAACCCTGACCTTGTGGTACTTGGAAATACCACGAAAACTGGCCTTATTTCGTCAGGGATCACCATGAAAGCGAATTCTACGGTACCTGAGGTTACTACTACGGTACCTGAGGTTACTACTACGGTACCTGAGGTTACTACTGCGGTACCTGAGGTTACTACTGCGGTACCTGAGATTACTACGGTACCCGAAGTTACCACGAAACCGAGCACTACTTCATCAGGTAAGCCGAAAGAGATATAAACCACTGATTGAAAATTACTCGTAACTGCGCTGATAGACATCAAAATTTATATCTTGCCATCTTCTGCAATCAGATGCTAAACAAAATTCAATCAGCCTTTGATGAGTCAACAAGCACATTACCATTTACGACTGTATACCATTCATACATTATCACTATCACTAGATAGAAGTGTTTATGAAGAGGAGACTCTAAGCAAAAAGCTGCGAAGTAAATCATTGGGATATGGGAGGGGAGAGACCTAAATGCGATAGAATGTCGCTAAGGAGCCTGACCAAGCAGATGGTGGAAAAAATTGTGGCGGAAAACCGCCTCGTCGTGGTATCCGCACCTTGACAAACTCTGCTAAATATCACTCGAAGTCCAGGGAACCGTCCATTTCATTGAATTTTATCTCTAGCATTGATTTAGCAGCCTTACTACCAGAAATATTTACAATAGTTCTCATGTTCCCCAAAAGGGACTATAATTTGCACCACACACAGTTAGCGAAAAATGCATATCTTGAATATCTGCATATTTCCATGAAACATTCTTCTTTGGTCCGTCGAAGACGTTTCAAAAATTATTTGCTNAACAAACCTTCCCATTTAAATCTGTCGTTTTGCATCCATTCAGACTTTTAATACCCTCTAGGTATTAAAAGTTGCTAGAGCATATTTTCATGCTGATCTACATCTGTTCAAACTGCTCACATCTAGGCGAGAAAGGCAGTGGAACGTATGATTTGCATTACTGCAATAAAAAATATTTCCAGAGAATATCATTAGGTAAGTTTTCCAGGTTGTGTGGATAAACTGAATTGCAAACCATACGCATACTTATGTGACAATGCCGCATATTACCGACTCATGACCGAGCAATGTCCGAAAACGTGTAATCGTTGCAATACTTCGAGTCAGTCTTCTGGTTCAAGTTTGAATTCTGATTTATTGTACATTTTGGTTTGGTCTTCATGACACTCAAGCAGTTACCGTGCAACCCTCGTTCTGCTATAATCATCCCCGCATCTATTCCTGAAGCAATGTCTGTAAAAACATCACTGTTTTTGCAGACATTACTTGAAAGGATAGACTGCAGCACTGCAATCTCAAGACCACATCCAGAATGTTTCTCCAAATTTGGAGGTATCAACTTAAACGACCTATTCACATGCAAATACAGTGATGGTCACAGTGGATTATACAAGCGATGCTAGAAGCGTCGCATGTATGACCTTTCCGCTTCGCAGGTCTATTGTATTGCTTCAGAAAAAAAAACTTGCGGGAAAGTTTATTGCATTACGGGTTCATTTTCTTGTAATGAACAGTCATTTCTTCACACCCTCATCGGAACATTCTATCACTGAGGAGTTAAGAAACCAGTGAATCGCATCTTCGAATCACTTGATCCGAGGTTCGCTCCCCAGCCACTTGCAGATGATCCTCCAAAACTTCCTCTCACTGAACTGCTCCATCCAGCATCCGACGACCCTCCCCATCCACCAGTAGAAGGA